CAAAAAGTACTCGACTACATCACTGGTGTATAGTCGTTCTAATAATATTTCTAAACTTCACCGTTCAAGCTGTTAACTGCGGTGGCTCCACACTCAGTGGTGCATGCTTTTTTGGGAGGGAGGGGACTTGAGGACTTTTGCCACCCCCCCCCGCACCGCGGTAATCAATAATCCTGATGATCAGATTAGTTGGCAGACATTTATCCGTTGTTAAACTTTGGATGGATGATGTTCCTGTACTTTATGTATTCAGCGTACGCGTTTGTCGATTTAATGTAATTGTGTAGTGACTATTAACATCGCTGCCTCTAATTAATAAAGATGTACCTGCCTCTCTGTAATTTCTGATGTTAATTTGTGGTGAATACATTTAACATACAACATGTAATGTACAATACCATATGTACATACACGATGTATACTCTACATTTGTAAACATGTACAGGTGTATGTGTTCAGATTTACCATACAGGTACGACTAAAATATGTACCGTGTACGATGATGTACCTGTTCACATGAAGACCTGTTTTGCACAGTTTGTCAAAAAGGATGTCTGCTGTAGAGACACGTACATGTACATATATAAAATTACCCTGTACATTATGTATGTACCAGTGTCTTTAATGTTAAACATTGTAAAACTGGAAAATGACATAACATGCGAACATCTTGTAATAAGCCAGAGAATTGTCCGTATTGTTTGTATATGTACATGTAAGTTTACATGTATATCAATCTAAATCAGAATGATTTCTGCGGAAACAATTTAGTGGTATGCAGTCACTGAGGAATTGTGCTCCAGTAGTTCTGAAAAGAGTCATTGTAATTTATTTCAGGATTGCCATACGCGATGAAAAAGGCTGGCCTACCATTTGGGATCCTTCTTTTGATGTTCATTGCAGCAGTGACAGGTAGTGTTTTTAGTAGTAGTAGTAGTGACACCAAGGATTCCGCAAAAGCACCCAAGGCACTGTAGCTCACAAGCCTGAAGACACCTGTAAAGAGGAGACAATGAGAAGCCGCTACAGTTTTAGAGGTGGGAGGAAAACCCCAGAGGAATATTCTGGGTAAAACCCACAGACTTGGGTAGGGACTGAAGATCCAATCCTTATGTGGACGGAGCTGGGTTTTAACAGCCCCGGACCACTGCTCTAGCTGTGGGTGGAAGGAGAGGAAAGATTCAGTACCCCAACCTGACCCCCGATGCAGCTGCAAAGCTGGTATTCGAACCTGGATTCGAACCCTGTGATTTTTTTTTGGTTGCTTACAAGTACTCAGGTGTCCAATTTGTTTGTGTGGGAGGTGGGAGGAGAGGGCTTGAGGCCTCATACATTTTATGTGTAGGCTGGGGCACGCAGTCACGGACGTATATAAAAGAAATCTGGACTTGCAATGCCCTTAATCAGCTTATAGAGATTATTAAATCCACTAGCGGCCATTTTACCGAGCCGAATACAAAGCTTGCCCGGCAATGCCCGCCTATGTTCTCCCTGGCATCAATAGAACCGAGCCAACCCGCGCATTTGTAAAATGGTAAAATGGCCGCTGGTTGGCTTCTATTTCATACAAAGGCGTTCAAGTCCAGGTTTTTTAATATACGTGGTGCACGCAGTGGGATTACTCCAGTGCACTGTACTTCTCCAAATATGGATGCAAAAGGGGAGTGCCTTGCTCTTTATTCCACTTTAAGTGCACCACAAGAAGAAAGCTTCAAAAGCAGGTCCTTTGCCCAGGGACTGCCGTGATTTATTGGACTGAAGTGAAACGTATTGCCACCGCTGTGATGCTCTTTGTATGCAGCTTACAATGTGCAGGTGTGTAACAATGCCTGGAAAATGGAATGGTTACAATGCCCACTTTGTAACGTGGAAGAGTTGTCTACTGTCAGCAAAGGCAGTGGAATAATGTTCAAAGTGGGGTGGGCGGAAGCAACAGTCATCAGACCATCAAGCAACGGCTGTTATTTGGCCAATTCATTTAAAAATCCCACCTTATTATAAGAGTGGGGTGTGGGGGGACCATGTCCCCCTCCCCCGTCAAAAAAGTTGGGGGTTACCATTCAAAAACGTGGGGAGGGGGAGGAGGGAGCACTGGCCCCCAGCTTCACTGGCCCCCAGCTTCCCTGGCCCACAGCTTCCCTGGCCCACAGCTTCCTGGTTTAACCACTAACCAACAGGGAAAGTCCAGTTACTGACAGGGTTTTTAGATACATGTACATGTATATCCTGTCCATAACAGGTATGAAACTCAATGGCATTGGTTTCTGCCACTTGGCAGCTGAAGTGAATAGGTTTAGATGACATTTTTGACTTCAAATTTACCAGTAGATTCATGACCCATCACCAGTAAAGACATTTTTATGGAAATAATTATGCTTCACTTTGTTATCCAGTTGAGTAAATGTACTGGTAGTTGCCAGGACGTTGGAATGGCATATCAGATATGACTGAAATGACAACTGGGTGAATGCCCATCTCTCAAAAAAATATCCCCTAGAATGAGACAGAACTCTGTTAAAATTTCAACTCTCTCCATGGCCTTTCCTGTTGCTTTGTTTTTCAGAGCTGGCTGTTTTAATTTCATGAATGAAATCAAAGTATTTTAGGGGAGTTTAGGTTAATAATGCAAGGTGGCCAAAGAAGCCTCGGCTGGAGCTCTCACAGAAAGAATTGACAAGTAGTCATATTTCCAAGTTCATGTTTCCCCCTTGTTTCTCCACTGGGTCGGTTTGCATTTCTGTGTAGACTACTCCCTCTTGTTGCTGATCCGCGGCGGGGAGCTGTCGGGGACTAACACCTACCAGGGCCTGGTGCAAGCTTCTCTGGGCAGCCCCGGCTTCTACTTCCTGTCGTTCATCCAGTTTGCATATCCATTTGTAGGTGAGCCTCAATACCCAGTCAAAGAGACCCCGGAGAGTACAAGTACCTCCGTTTCATGTTGAGGATCAAGAAGTCGTAAGAAGGCGTTAGAAAACCCTGTCAGTGCTATTTGAACAAAATGCTACAAAGAAAGCGTACATGTTCATGCATCAACTTCCATTACTCGCCATCAGTAATCTTTCTTTCATATGTCTTCTTTGGACTTTAATGTGATGGTTGAACTTACAGAACATCTTGCACTGCACAAAGAATAAGAAGGAAAGCAAGCACATCGTGCTAGGGGGGAAAAACGGTACTGGTTGTTTCTGTTAAATTAATTGCATTTTTCTTGTCTTGGTTCCAGCCATGGTTGGCTACAACGTAATCATCGGAGACACCATCACCAAGGTTTTTGAGCGAATACTAAGTGGTATGCCCACAATTCATCTCTTTATTTATCGCCTCAAACATTTTATTTGTCTTTAATCATTCCTGGCTTAAAAGCTATTGCCTGATATGCCTCTTTTGTAGAATCTACATGTACCAGTACATATTAATTCCATTTTGATATGTATACAGGCATTAACATTTCATTAACTGTTAATATTTACTTGATGTCATGCCTACACGTATATTAGTTAAGCAAGAAAACCAAATAACGAAACTTGTATTCCTCATTCCTTTCCATGTCCGTGCATTAATGCATGAGTGATTTTGTGATCGAGCACATCAATTCAATCTCCTTTTGCAGCTGACCATGTGCTAGCCAATCGCTACTTCATCATCAGCATCATCACTGTGCTCATCTCCCTGCCATTCTCGCTGTACCGCAATGTCTCCAAGCTGGTCAAGGTAAAGGCAGGACTAAATCTCATTGGTCTCCAGCCATTTAGGTAGCTGTCTTCAGCAGACTGTCACCTTCAGAGTTAAGGACCCTCTCATTTGGGTGATCAAACAAACCTCAGTTTCTTGGAGTCCACCAGCATTCTCATCAACCACCATTTCACCAGGTCATCCCCTTGAAATAAGTGTGGCCAAGTCCAGCAGTTGAAATATAAACTCCAATCGAGACATTCAAACCCAAGTTCAAAGTCTTCCGCGAATTCAAAGCCTTCCCAACTGATGTCGGCACTTTTGCATGGGAGCTTCGCTGCAGGGACTGTTGTCCTTATGAACATTTTTACCACGGATGAAAATGAGCTGTTGTATATCACACATTGGTTGGGCAATACACCACATTTGGGCCTGAAAACCAAGGTTTTTCAGGCCTTGCACTAACTTTTTTTCCTAGCTGGCCCACTGGGCTACATGTAGTTAACTGGATATTTTACTAGCCCGTTTAGAGTTTTACTAGCCCGTATATACAAAATTAAAACCCCAAATTTGTTATCAGCTCACCAATAAAGAATTTGACATTTCAGAAAATAAAAGGCTGTTAGTTAAATATCACTTGATTCACTGGTAACGGAGTTGGGAACAAAATCACCTCTTTGCTCCAGCTTTCCCTCATTTGGGTTGCTTATGTTAGGCAATAATTGGCACTTTTTGCTTACTTTCTGGTATTTATATTGATATATTGATTTATATTGAACACATGTATTTATTTTGATCTAAGTTTTAACAGGTTGGCTTATAAATTCTGAATTTTTCACTTTTTTTTTTTTTTTTTTCCCCACCGGGCAACCAAGGAACCAAGTTTAGGTAGTCCGGAGCAGTTCTAGCTAGAATTTGTACGCTGGGCTAGTATTATTTCGAAGCCTGTTGTTTTTTTTTTGGCTCCTTTTTGGGGGGAAGTGTGGACAATGGGGGCTATGCCTGAAGGGCTATTCGGCTCCAGAGTGCTAAACCTTTTTCAGTGGTGAAAACAAAGGATCTGAGAAATGAGGGCTCTGTGGCTGTGCACCTGCCTGGTACGGGTACATCATGTGCCTTGGAAGAGGTCTCAATGAAAGTAGGAGAACCAACAGCCCCTGTATTTTATGGTTGTGGTTGATTTTTCTGTCACAAGGGAAAGCTTGCGTTTTTTTTTTTTTTCTTGAATGATTCAGTCCGTGCTCTGTTGTGTCATCTAAATGTGTCTCTTGTGACAGGTGGCAGTCGTGTCCATTGTCCTACTCGCAGTTCTCATTGTCATCATCTTCATCAGGATGGGGACCTTACACATGTGAGTACATTCAGTCACTCACTCACTCACTCACTCACTCACTCACTCACTCACTCACTCACAGTATTGAACATTTTGAGCAACAGTTGGATGCTACAGTTTTGAAATAGCCAATGCCAAATGTCCCGACTTCCAAAGGATTCATAACTTTTCCAGTCACAGCTGGACAACTGCATCAACTTCTTATAAAAGAAGGAGATGGCCTAGATTTCAGAGATTTCTTATGTTCATTAGGTGGCCTGTCTTAAAAAGTCTGTGCATTGATAAATGGACGATCGAAGCCTCCACTGTTATCAGCTGTGACTGGAGAAATTATTTTGAGCCTAATTCTGTATTTCTGCACCGTTCTTGAAATTGTCTCTTTTATGGCTGAGAATCTTTTACACCTGTGTGATATTTATTTTATTTGTTTCATCAGTCCAAGCACAGATGGAGCCTGGAACTTTGCCAATCTGCAGTTCACAGAGTCTGTCGGCATCATAACATTTGGTAAGTGGCTCCCCCAAATATTCTTGAGTCAGAAGTGGCCGAAACACAATTGTCCTTCCATAATGCTATTTGATGCTCAGAACTCTACCAGAATTGTCGGCCTCAGTGCCTGCAACTTTTTAAAGGGCACCAGAATCCACTAATGTCAAGGCCGTTGGGCAGACCACACTGTGCCAGAAGTGTCAGACTTCAATTCTCAGACAAGTTTCAATATGAATGTCCCTGGGTAAGCAGCCAATGCTCGCTTCAGTTCACTTTATTTGAGGCAGTAATTAAACGGTCTCGCAACATAATGGCATCGCGCTTTGTTTACACATGCCATGCACTTTCCAGTAGCCGTGAGATGGGGCACGATCCTTCAATCCCCGACAGGAAAGCACACATGTAAATAGTGGGTAACGTCGTTATGTTAAAGGTCTATTCCCCTGTGCACTCTTGCCTAGACTGTCTCAGCTTGTGAAACTGGCGGGTGTTTGATTTCAATGAGATCACATGAGATAGCTAGTCTGATATCTACATACGTGTACCAATATGGTGCACTGTAGATTAACCCCAAAGGTAGCAACCAGACTTGAAAGCCAACTGCAGAGGTGCCATCATGGGTCTGATTTACATTTGTCCCTCCTTAACCATCTTTGCCAAAAGGCAGTTGCATCTGGTGTTTAAGAGGGCATTGAACGTACATGCTCATGTAGGTGTATGGTAGAATCATTGCAATTACACTTGTCAGATGAGTCAACAGTATCAAATGACAAATGCAAGGGCTCACATGATGCAATTAAGCAGCAATAATCAATTTGGCCTTAAACACCAGCCATACCTACTATCCATGACCAAACTGCATGTAAATAACCACCAGGAACGGAGCATATGGCCTCGTAAAGAAAAATTAAAAGATAGTCGTTTGACTTATTAAATTGCCTATTGCACAAAGAATGAAATATACCCCCTAGGGTATTGGAATTGGAGGATTGAGGACTGTTAGGGTAGGTGTTTAGTTTCATGCCCAATTATTACTGTGCACGTTGATAACAACATCTACTGCTTGGCTGCTTTTTCAGTGACTTTTCATTTTGATGTAATGGACTGAATCATGTCATGTGATATCTTTTTCTGACAGATTTAACCAGGAAATTCATTGTTTACATAGGTGACCTTTTGAGTGAATGCCCTTCCCCGAAAAATGGGTTCAAATAGAGAAATATTGATTCAAAAGGAATTGAAGCCTAGCTTTCCTAAAAACTAAAAAATTTCCTGAAATTGGTGTACCCCCGGCCAGATCCGAAGCATAATCAATACAAACTTCCTCCCCCCTCCCCAATTTTTGTTGTCAGTCTTCTCCAAAACGGGTACCTCTTTAACTTAGAGCCAGAGAATACTCTAATCAACCCCATGCATCTATGAACATCTCAGAGGAGATTGGAAATTTTGATATGAATATCTGGCTCAGGGATGTAAGCTTCACTTGCATTGCATATTGGTGTATCCGTGCTGTAATGCTTGTGCTGTGATAAATTCCCAACTCATAATCATCGAGAGACTTACTCATACTACAAGTTTCTATGCATGCACATGCATCATTGGTAGATCCATATTCATTTGTTTCCTGAACCAGACACCAGGTGGCAGGCTGTACCACAACAGCTGACAGCAGCATATTATGGAACATAGGTTTTCATTAAAGACACTTAATGAATAATGTATGGGTAAATTTTGTATGGCATTTGGGCTGTCAACGTGTAAATGTACGAAAAGGAGAATGGCGTGTTTTCTCCCAGAATGCCTCGTTAGGAGGGAGGCACGGTTTGCCCACAAAGGTGTCTGTGCGTAATGGGTATGGAGTTGGAGCCTGCGCGATTTTCTTTCAGATGTTCTGTTGCCGCCAGGCACCGGAGTTGAATTGGTCACCGTGCCAAGTTCTCCTGTCACTGTAGGTGAGGGAGAGCGGATGTGCAGGGCAGAGAGAAGAAATGTCCGAGTGTTGCAGGTATTCATGACCCAGCTGTTTCATGATATTTTTCACCTCTCCCTAATGCCCAGCCTATATTTGCCACCACAATTCCTTCCTGGTCTACTCTTCCTTGGAGACGCCCAACCCCCACAGCTGGTCAAAGGTCACGCACATCGCCGTCATTCTGGCCACTATCTTCTCCGCTTTGGTCGGCATCGGCGGATATGTGACCTTCACGGGATACACCCAAGGTACATGTAGCAAAGATTTGTGTTTCTAAATATCGTTCGAAATCCTAGGAGGTGTGTGCCAGCACCACAGATGTTACTTGCACCAGACCTCTGCATCATCACTGCAGCTTATGTGTTCCACATACTTGGTATGCTCAACTACATCTTAAATTGTCTTCTTGATTTAGCAAAAATTTCGAGGGGAGCCAGTTTAAAAATGTAAAACGTTTAAATGGGGATTTTAAAGAGAGAGTGTAAAGGGTGTTTTTACTGGACTTTGAGACTCCCAAGGTAGAGTTGTCAATTCTTTGTTTCTTGAGCCTGATATGTGTACGTGATGTGGTATACATGTACTTGTGTTGAATGAAGGGTCGTATTTGATTGAAAACAAATTCATTTATGTCAAAAGCACCGTAAGGGACATCAGGATTGTTTTCTCTTGGAAAACAATTTTGTTTCTCTGTTTCTGAAGCTCCTTAATGCCATTGCTGAGGTAGAGATAGCATTGGCTTGAAGGTGTTCTTTAGTTGTCTCAATTTTTTTTTTTCACACTTCGACATTTTCGTGTTACCCAGGTGATGTCTTGCAAAATTACTGCCATATAGACGACCTTGCCAATGTGGCTCGTGTCGTGTTTGCTATCACCATTGTCTGCACCTACCCACTGGAATGCTTTGTCTGCCGAGAGGTAAGGGCTTTTTGTCTCTGAGTTGATCAACTCTAGCTCTCTGGTCTAATGCCCAGTTGTTCCTTTAGCGTGCCGTTGACAGATCTTCACTGATTCATCCAAGTACTTCTTGCAGTACGCTGTTTGATTCACCAAAATCACAGACCTGTCTTTGTGTTAGCCAACTCTTTGAGACTGCAGATAATCACAGACTTTCCAAATGTTAACTCGTTCCCTTAGGGTCACGGATAATTACAGTGATTAGTACTGGCTCGAGAAGATGCCTGTCATGGTCAGAGACAATCACACATCCATCCTTGTGGTTCCGACAATGGTCACTAAGTATCACAGTTAATTACACTCCTAGCTGAGGGGTTCTCTTCTTCATTTACCCCTTTGCCAGGTGATGGAGAATTTCATCGTACATCACGGCTGGGCCAGCTCCCCCCAGCCCATGACCCGCCATCTCATCCTAACACTAGTGCTGGTTGGCCTGACGCTAGGACTGTCCATGAGCACCTCTTGTCTTGGTATCGTCTTGTCCATCAATGTAAGTGGTTTATATTTTTGCAAACTTGGTAGCCCTAACAGGTGTTAGAGCCAGTGTTGTTGTTGAGTCCATCAAAAGTCCATCACAAATCTTAAGCCAACTCAGCAGCTGTTTGAATATACTGACAAAAGCATTCCTTTGTCATTGCTCACCCTGTTACATAGGACTGGTCCTGTGAGAGGACTTGTGACTAGACTTGTGACTTTGCTGATAGACTCGACTGTAACTTTAGCTAGAACATGGTCTCTGTAGAGTTAAGTGTAATTTTTGCACCTTACTCCAATTTTTTGACACTTCAAAGGCAGACTTCAAAGTGTAAAGCAATGGACAAATCTATTATTCAAGAAGAGATGCTACAGTTTAGTTCTACGCGAAAAAATTTGAACAGCACCTTGTACTCACAGTTCTGCCATTCCAATTCCACAGGGTATCATTGCAGCTGTTCCACTGGTCTTCATCCTCCCCACGTTGTGCTACATCCGGCTGCAGGAGGGCCACTGGTACTGTCGGGAGAAGGTGCCCTCCATCCTCATCTGTGTGTTTGGCTTCCTGGTCTGCATCTTTGGGATTGTCACCATCTGTGTGGACCCGTCCAGCACCCACTGTCACAGCCAGGACCTGGACTACTGTCTTGCGGTGAATGAGACGTCCGTCTCTCTTCTGCCGACGACGGAGATGAGTCCCACCTCCTGGATGTACACAACCGCAACATGATTGAAACAGTCCTAGGTAGCGATCGGTATAGAAGGAAAAAACGCAAATAGGTAATTATGTAAGTGTGGAAATGTTCATGCTGTTTGTCTGTGCTCTATGCACTAATTTAGCTTGTGGCACAAGTTTGCTTCAGAATCTTGGCAACTGTGGACATTATTTTGTTCTTTCGAAAATTTGAGAGTTGCTTGGCAGAAAACATGGCTTTGCAAGCCAACCTCCACTGTCAAAATCAGCTGGGAACCAATCTCTGGCTACACAGATCGCATGGTATTTTGGCCGGTACATGTAGCCTCTTTGGCGAAGGAATCTTTCCTGCGCTTGGCCAATTTGTTTGCCCTGAGCAGTGCCATGGAATGTACCCACAAAACATACTCTGATGAAGTTTTACCCCAGAGCTTTGTGACCCGCTCTGTGACACTCTCTATGACCTGCTCTGTGACACTCTGTGAAAAAAAAAAATCGTCCACATCTTTCATCTCTGGTGACTTCTAACTCATTTTCCTACGGCTAAGTCCATTCGAATAATTCACTATTCGAAGATGTGACCTTCAGTTTGATTGAATCAGAATATTTGGTCGTACCAACCGGCAGATTGTTGCTCAAATCATGTACAAAATCAGTTGCAATAACGCACTCAATTGTACACGATAATCACTATAATAGCTTCTCACTTTTAGAGTATCTCCAGCCACGATTGAGCAAGATTTAACAGACCAACAGTACTTCTTGCCCTGTTGAAAATTTCCATTCCTTTAAAATTTTTAATGAATGATTTACTTTTTGAATCGTTTTAAGATTTCTGTCGTTTTTCATTTGTATCTGCTTGAGACAAGCCTCCATAGTGCAATTTTTCTCATTTAAATCAAAGAAATTTCTCCCTTTTTGTGAATTTCGCATTCGAATCTTCAAATGCAGAAAACAATATTCAAATATTTGATAATATATCGAATGTTCGACGCAGCCCTAATTTCCACAGAGGGAGTTACAATTTTGCTTTGGAGAATGGTTGGAGCTACTAGACTGTGAGCAGACTATCCAGGGTCTTATCAAATTTGCAGTTATGGTACACCACCAGAAACAAACAAAACAGATTTGTGTTTGGCCAGTGAAATGTGGTAAAAAATTTTTATATAATTCCCACTCCCACCTCAATAAATTTCTTACATGTAGTTTTGGGAGCATTCCTCAGTTACTTTTTCCGTAGTTTTGGGAGCATTCCTCAATTACCAGTATTTTTCCCTAGATTTGGGAGCATTCCTCAGTTAGTTTTTCCCTAGTTTTGGGAGCATTCCTCAATTACCGGTATTTTTCCCTAGATTTGGGAGCATTTCTCAGTTAGTTTTTCCCTAGATTTGGGAGCATTCCTCAATTACCAGTATTTTTCCCTAGATTTGGGAGCATTCCTCATTTAGTTTTTCCCTAGATTTGGGAGCATTCCTCAGTTAGTTTTTCCCTAGTTTTGGGAGCATTCCTCAATTACCAGTATTTTTCCCTAGATTTGGGAGCATTCCTCAGTTAGCTTTTCCCTTTGCAGTTTCCATCACATTCCACATTGTACTGTTTACATACAAAGAGCTTAAAAATCTTTAGTGTACATGTACCTTTTCTTGATCAGATTTTCAAGCTGTGGCTTACAAGATTTAATCTTTCTTTAGCATTAGACGTTACTGTAATCGGAATTCCTTAATCAGAAATCATTGTATTCGATATGCACATCTTCGTCGTGTGGGTTTCTTTTTGTTCTTGACTTGGTGCCACTGAAAACTATTTCGGTTTGACTTGTAGTGGCATTAAAAGTTGTTTTTCAATTCTGAAAGATACAGCTGGTCGCACAAAATTCGAACCAAGCAAGTTTTCGCAGGAGGTCCAGGACTTGTTTTTTTTAAATGAGCATTTCTTTTAGTTTGCAAGCTCACAGATGTTCAGGATGGAAGTCCAAACTTCAAAGTGCATAAATCTCTCAGTTTTATGCATGTTTTGTGTATAGCATAATGCTCGTGGGTAATCTCTGCTAGTTAACTAGTTTTATGTAATCACTGTGGATTGGGAATTCAGGCAGTTGAGTGTATGTATTGAAGCCATTATATATTAACAGCAATATTTGTAGCGTTAACTGAAAGCACAGATATACATAAATATATATATTTATTGATGAGTGTCATATTTATATCAGTGTCTTTACAAGTTACATGTACCATCGGTGTCTGTATTCGTGTACATGTCTTTCCCAGAATTAACCCCTTCATGACGGGAGATAGCAAGAGCCGCGGCTTTGTGTGGCGATTAGTACATACTGCCCATTCACTATGCAGCTGCTGGTTCAATGGGGCCTGCTGCTGGACACAGCCCTCCATTCAGGGCATACCACAGCCCAGCAGTCGCGGTCAAAAGAATCCCGGCGCGAAGGGGTTAAGAAACCGACAGTTGTAAATGTACCCATGACATTTTATTTATGTAAATATCAGGTTGGCCATTTTGTCTTGCATACAGGAAATCATTTCAATCCCATGCATTCAGTGTCACTGTTCTGACCATCGTTTGTGGTCCAGCATCTTTGAAGCCTCTGTATGTTTTACATCAGTTTGTGGTGGTTCAGACTCTGTTTTAGTATGCACACCGTACACTGCAGCAAGAGCTTCCTGAACCTGCTGTGTACATGCATATCAAATGTACATGTGCATGGCCAGTTGAACCTCGTTAATAAGAGGTCCTTTGGACTTGGCAAATTATCTTGTTATAACAGAAACCTTGTATTATCATGAATGAAAACAATGAAAAAGAAAGGATTGGGACGGAACAATTTCCTTGTCTTAAGCAGGATCTTGTATGAACAGTGCTCTTATTAATGAGGTTTGACTGTAGTCATACATTGTAGCCTTACATGAGGCCCAAAGATGGCAGACTGCGAGGGGGTGAATGTTTACTCTCTACTTAATTTGATTCTAGTAGATGAAATGCACATCTACTGTACATGCTGCATAGCACTGCAGAGCATGGTGGAAATTGTAAACCAGACTGTGGGGTCAAGTTTTCGATGTACCAAACCACCAACAATAAGGGCTACATGCCTGATCTTGGTGAATGCATGTATGGCTAATCCGATAGTTGGTACATGTACCTTCACTGAACCTTGATCAGGGCAGGTGGCAATTGCCTTTGTAAAATTTCATCCTGCCAACAAGCTTGGCTACCGCGGTTGAGTGAACACTGTTTTATTTTGGGGTTTTCAATTTCTATGTAATATGCAAACAGATGGTATTGTATAACAGTGGTTGCTGTATCAAAATATCACATGCTTGTTATCCGGCAGATGGTTGAACCATTCACCCTAAATTACCGGTAAGTGGATAGTGTCATTCATCCACCAGCAAATTGTGCACTCATCAAAATTTACAGTTTTTGAAATACTTGTATAGAATATGAACTACTTGACGAGTGCTGCTTAATTTAAAAACAACACAAGAAACTATGAAAAAGCAACTGATTGGCTCCCCGTGTCCGCCATAATGGGACAGTATAATGACGGGTAATAGAGGCGTTCAAGGTGCTACGTTGCGAGTATGGTCATTCCTTCCCACTGGGCCTGTAAAGCATTCTTGAATCCATCTGGGCTCAAGCACAAAGAGCCGTCAGTTGCAACAACCATCCCTGGTAACCATTGATACCCCTGGGTAGATAGAGACAAATGGGAGTGAAGCTGCTTGCCCAAGGTGCGGGATTCGAACCCCGGACCCTCTGTTCAGGAGTTAGTTAGAAATCCCAACCCCAAGGCCACACACCTCTGAATGTATGTGGTTGAATCCTTTGGTAACTTGTCTTAGCAACTGACAGCAGGGGGAATATTTTCTTAGAGGTAAAGTTTGAACTTGCGCAAATCCAGGGGCTCAAATTCAAATCAGAAAACATTTTTGCAGGTGTTGTTTGACTACCACGTATACAGCTGGGGCCAATTTCATAGAGCTGCTTAAGCACAAAATTTGCTTAAGCGGGAAAAAACCTTACTTGATAAATCAGGTAACTAGCCAAAATTCCACGTGATGTATATTGTTTTGGGATCGTATTTAGCTGCTTTCTGGTTAGCATGACAATCAGATAGAGTTTGAGCTGGTAACCTTTGTTTATTAAGCAAATTTTTTCCTGCTTAAGCAAATTTTGTGCTTAAGCAGCTCTATGAAATTGGCCCCAGTTGATCAAGGGATAAAACCTTCATTAAAGACAGTACTACTACTACTACTAATAAAAAAAGTCTAAATAAGAAAAGCCTGATGTGAAATATATTTTTAAAGGATTTAGAATCTGGTTTTTGTCAGTGATTCTGCTTGGATCAAAGATGTTGACCTTCTTGGGTGATTATTAACGTGTATGTGTTTGGTTCATTCTATTTTTGATTTGGTCAGCAGCTTGTTTTATCTAGAGTGTCAGTTCGTTTTTAAAAGTTTTTTTTCTAAGGGAATGCAATTATGGTGCAATCTGCATCTGATCACAAATGCTGAGATGTTTGGTAATTGTAGCAGTGTGTTAATTTGGGCTTGCAGTGCATTTATATGATGTGAAGATTTACTTCTCTAGGATCATGTTAGTTTTACAAAACAAATTTTAAAATGTCTTTCTCCAGAATGCTTTCGTGCAAGATTTACGTAGCTAGCCATGTCTATGTTATTATTTTGTATTCTTGATGTAGTTTCAGCTTGAATACATTTTTACTGTGTAGTGATGTGTAGGGTTTTGTTGCCAGAACTGGGTACTTGGTACCTAAAACTGGGTACTTGGTACCTAAAACTGGGTACTTGGTACCTAAAACTGGGTACTTGGTACCTAAAACTGGGTACTTGGTACCTAAAACTGGGTACTTGGTACCTAAAACTGGGTACTTGGTACCTAAAACTGGGTACTTGGTACCTAAAACTGGGTACTTGGTACCTAAAACTGGGTACTTGGTACCATATTTTCCTGGATGTGTACAGGTTACATGGCTGCTTGATGAAGTACCGTCCTTCTTTTATTTATTCTGTGTGACTTTCTCCAATAGAGGGTTTACATGACAGCCATCTTTTGGGCAAGTGCTATCATTCCAAAGGGTACAGACAAAGGAGGTTTCCCTGTGGAATAAAAGAACTGCCCTGCAAGATGGCTACCGGTACCACTCAAAGCCTCTATAGATAGGGAAACCAATGAGTACCATTGTGTTTCAATGCTTACACCACTGGAGTGCATGTTACCTAACCTAACAGAATGAGTTGCAAATCGTCAGAGTCACCTTTGAACCTTTGAGACACAGGCCTTTGAAGAAATTTGGCACAAAGTATTTGTACTTTAGTCCAAACCCTCAACAGTAGGCCCATGTACTGATTACTTCGCGCATTGTTTACATGTGTACTTTCCTATGGAGTCATTGGGGGTCTTTAGCCCTGTGAGCCCTGTAGGAAAGTACATCACATAAACACAGTGTGGCGTCATCAGGGGTCAATTTCATAGAGCTGCTTAAGCACAGAATTTGCTTAAGCGCAAAAAAACCTTGCTTAATAAACAAAGGTTACCAGCGGTAGCTCATACTCTACATGATTGTCATGCTAACCCACAGACAGGTAAATACATGTGCCATTCCAAAACAATATACATGTACATGTACCTCACAAGAAGTTTTGGCTGGCAACCTGATTTGTCAAGCAAGGTTTTTTCACGCTTAACCAACTTCTTGCTTAGGCAAACGTCAGTTTATGCCCGAGTGAGTGTTAGATCAAATCGAGGAGCTCAATTTACCCTCACTTTGCAAACTAAATCATTTTACTGACAGAAAACAATAAAGGCCTTTTGACTTATTTTGTGGTATCTGGTCACATGTACATGTATCTCTTGTAGCTAAAAGCTGATGTCCACAAATACGTGTATGCACCTGTTACCACTTGGGAATCCCAAGTGTGGCTTTATGTAGCTTAAACAACAGTTGTGTTGACATCACTGATGTATACAGCTCCAGGGATACACAGAGGTCTGTTTGTCTTGTAAATCAAGTTTAGTTGCCAAACTACACATATGAACAAAGAATTTGATTTGTCGTGTGTCTAAGATTGTTTGATTTATATTTTCTTGCACTATCATGAGTGAAATTTTTGTTGGTACTTATTCATTTGCCAGGACAGTACTCTGTTGTTGGTTTTTTTTTGGGGGGGGGTGTTTGAAGCCGTTGGTTTGAATTTCAGGCCTAATTTTGACGTTGTTGAAGTGTTTTTGACTTGGAGTTGAGCTCCACCGATAAGGACAGAGAATGTTTATGTTCATTTGTGTGTTTAAAACCAAGTAATATTTTGTTCAGGATGAAGAATATGTTGAAAGTGCCATTGCCTTTCTTCCTTCCAAACGTCTCATGCTCTTAGTTCTCTTCTCTAACTTAATTATTTAGCCCTCAGCCCGAGTGGCCTCTTGGGGTCTTGTGTTGGGTGACTTCCATAAAAAAACAAACACAATTTGCCTGTTGAGTGACTATTATCTACGTACGCACACTGGTGTCCTTTTTATTGGGTCGTGAGCTAAACCTGATCATTTCTGTTACAACCAGACGTTTAGTTTTAAAAATGTTCTTCATGTACATTGAATAAATCTTAGCAATAGTGGATATGCATTAACATAACATCTAAAGAGTAGCCATGTTGCATCTGTAAGACATTTGACTAACTATTGTCTAATCGGGTTGGTTTCACAGTGAAAGTATACTAATCTATGTGTGGCAGATGATTTGATCAATCACTGCTCGTTAGCAAGCTGTTGTTGGTTTAGATCTTGCTATTTAGTTAACTAAGGGTAACGTTGGAACCAAAGCAACTACTTTATTTCTGATTCTTAAAATAAAAGAAATTAAAGTTGTAGTGCCAGCCAGTACTTTTTCTTTCGATGGGATAAGGCTAGGCAGTTTGTACGTTTCTTGCCTCTTGTGTTTTGGCCTTTTTCTCATTTTTTGGGGAGGGGGTCCTTGGATGGAAATATTAACTACAGCTCTGGAGAAAATTGTGGGGTTGGAGGGAATTCACATAGTTTGTAACAGTAAACTAGTTTTTTCAAGATCTGATTTTCATGTATATGTTGTCAAATTTGGGAAAATCAGTTTCATTCTAGGGACAAGTTACTGACGTCACGTAAAATCTAATTGTTGGGGAGTAGCCGTCCCCCCTCCCCCCCAAATTTCCATTTTTCAGAAATATTGTCAGTACATATGCATGGGTCATGCTCATATGGCCAGATTAATGAGATCTGAAAGTTTATATTGTACAAACTTGACATATGATGGCCCCTAAAAAAAGGGGGTCAGTAAAGTGTACAGTTGAACACTATTTTAAAGTGTATCAGGTGTAATAATTTATGTTCTCAGTGTTTATCTGGTTGCGTTGTAGAGAATTATTTTTGTGGCTTGTGAATATTTGGAAATTAATTTTTAACTTGTGATAGATCTGTTGAATCATTAGAATGCAATAAATAGTATGAGATAATCGCTCATATCAAGATGTTTTTTGTCCAGGATTTCAGAGGTCTTGAAAACAGTAGCAAAAATACAGACTTATAGAGTGTTGTAAATGGAGAAATTCCATCTCTGTCCCTGGGCCCATAAACATTCCCTTGGGAGTATACTGCATAATAATGCTGTGGTTTGGCTAATTATGAACACCTTCTTGACAGGTATCCATTTACACACCTGGGATGCCTCAGAGAGGCAAGCAGGGGTAAAGTGACATGTCCAACTAGTTGCTGGATGTAACCCCCTCCCCATCTGGATTTACAACTTTACTCATGAGGCTACATGGTCCACCCAAAAGGGGGCATGGGCATCACCAGGATTCTTCAAGGGGGGGGAGGGAGCACTCTTCAGCTAAAAACTTACAGACAAGGGCTGGAAGGGATCCATTTTGAGTCATGCACTACACAGGTTCTAAAAACAGCAAAACGTATCCTAAAATCAAAACTTTGAGGATTTGGGATGCATCAGATAGCTCTGGGAGTAAAGAGGGAGTGTTTCGTTTGCAGACTTAATGTAGCACGAAACAATTGCAAAGAAAGGAAGCAGAGGGGATCTTTGAAGTACATTAGAGGAATCTTTTTTACTCACTATAAAACGTGTAATAAAAAATCAGGTTTTTAAACATGAAAATCCCGCTCCTTCACCAACAATGTAAATTACATTTCCTTTACATGAAAATGTGCTCTCCCTGATCAAGCAAAATGTGTTACATGTATTTTTTGTTTTCCTGATGAAAATCTTGAAAAGCAAGAACAAGATAAAAATAATTAAATGTTTATACGTAATTCAATTCAAAAAAAGACTGTTCCATGTTCAATCATAACAGATCTAGATGCAGTCAGTGTACTCTTTTAATTTAACAGAAGACTGACTATTCAATTAACTGTATTAAAGTAAACAAATTTTTATCGTAATTACATGCAAGTGCTGCAGGTCACTGTTCAAATTTGTTTTGGTTTCAATCAACAAAAATCTTAAATTTCAACAGAAGTACAACTTAAAATTAACAGGTTTACCATCCCCTATTCAACAATCACGAACACTTTGGCAAATTTCTGGTGATGGAGATTTTCCCCAATAAATTATTTTCGCAGAAATGCAGCCATTGTGTGTACAAACTAGAACATAAATGCCACAAATGGAAATGTCAGTGACTAAATTAGATGATGTACCATAAAAAAATCAATTAAAAATTACTCAAATATTGATTTGTCGACTTATCTTGAAAGTATTTAATTTTTTGTAAGGAACAGGGTACGAATTTTTTTTAAGCAGTAAAGATTGAAAATGTTTGGACAACTCTCATAATCTGTGTAACTGGCCACAAGTGCAAAAGTGAACTATTTAAAAATTAATTCAATCTTCAAAGTTAACGCATTTGCCATGATTGCAGCTGGTTCAACCAGAATTAACTCAGGATCACCTTGGAGTAATAGGTTTAACAAGGATGGTAATATTTTACACGGATTAAAGATATGTTTAACATGTATTAGGTTAAGCTGAACTCAGAAGGCAAAATGATCTTGACAAGGATCAGCTGCTCAAGCTGGGTGACTTGACCTTGACCTTTAAGGCAGCCATGATAGATTCCATCATGTTGTTCACGTGCTGATGGGCCAGGAAGAGGCGGTCAGAAGGCAGCTCGGCCAGATTCTCCGTCGCCAACTCACCGACCAGATCTGCCAGCTTGTCCATGATCCTGGCCTGCTTGGGCAGCTGCTCCCCCTCGGCCAGGCCGCTGCTGCTCTCTTCCAGCTCGTCGTGCTTTCGTTTCGTACCCTGTTTGGGATGGGGCTCTTCTTTCTCACTTGAGGCTGCTCTGCTTGTTGACAGCTCAGATGATACAGCCAGCGCTTGGCGATCTTGTGGTCAAGAAAATGATAGGATGAGGTAACTGAGGCTTTCAAATTAACATATACCTGAGCCATTGGTGAGGCAGGCTTGAATATTACTGCTATCTTGGAAGAGTAAAAGGCATGCCCCAATATTTGATGCACTGATGCACATTAAATTGTATTGCAAACAGTAGAAATTATGTAACATAAATCAGGGGTGTGAGTGGCCACTTAAAATTAACCCTAACAGTCCTCAGTCCTCCAACAGGTGAAGGACGGAGGACTGTTAGGGTTACAGCTGAAAACAGCTGGCAAAAGCTGAAATGTAAAAAGTTCCCATACTTTGGTACAGACCAGGTGTACAAAAAAGCTGAAATTCAGGGTCAACATCTAGACCCAAAAAAAGCTGATATCAGCTAAAAAGCTGAATTATCACACCCCTGATAATACAAATAGGTGAGCTAACCACATTTGCTTGCCTTTCTTAGTGACTGTAAAGCCAAAGTGAAAAACAGCAGTTACAAGTTTTTAAATCTGACAAATGCTTGCTTGGTAAATACTCATTCCCTGAATAGACCATTCATGTTATGCAAGTTTTCAGTGACTGATGTTCCTTGTATGAAATGACCACACTGCCCACCTGCTTTGTCCGCAGCACTCTCTCCCACCTCTTTCCTCCCCTCTGTTGCTTTTGTCTCTGCCCCTCTGCCCTTCGCCTCGTCCTCCCCTGGCAACTCCTCCTTTTTCTTGCTGTCCACCAGGGGCGCCCCACTCTTTGCCGACTGCAGCCTCTGGAAGTTGGTCATGACTTTCCTGAGGTTGCTGATCTTTGGCGAACGTATCGGCAGGGACCGTATCTCCGTCGGGGAGAGTGAGCAGAGATGGCCAACGGTGAGGATATTGCGAGCACGTACCAGCTGCCCTAGGCCTCTGGACCTACAAGTTTAATGGAAACAAAAAAGTCTTTAAAGAACAAAATACCAATTTTTATATCATCCTCTAACTTCAGAAAGAATATTTTTTCTTCTCACTGACAGAAATCGTTCATACATGTCAGTTCAAGCGCTCAATGATAACAGCCAGAAATAGGGCACATAAAAAAAATGAATGGAAAAGGCAGGGCGCTCCTATTTAATTATTGCCAAGTTTGTTCAACGACCGTGTCAACCACCAGCAACTTTTTCCTAGTATACAGAATATATTCTATGTATACGTTAGCAGGCACAATTGAAAAATGGTCTCTGATCTATCTGTTGGGCACCATTTTAAAATTCCTATCGGTTGACTATAGGACAGGGCCATCCGACCGATAAATAAATGTAACTTGTGTTTAGTGATTAATGGAGGGGGTGTTGCTGGACTAAAACCACAAAGCTTTGGGAGTAATGGAATGTAAAGGCATATGTCGGTTAGAATTGGCCCCTTGGGACCACTTCACCTTATATCCAACTGATGATTAATATAGTTGGACCGTTCTGTCCGACAACTACCTGATAAGAATTTGAAATGGTGCCTTAGCTTTTAAGAACTTTCATCAGTACTTTGTCTGGTATTTCTTGAGTAAATACTGCCCCCAGATTAAATCCATAAAAGCATAATGCAATCAAAACCAAAACAAATCCAAAACCTCTGTGAGAAGTGTTTCGAGGGGGAAAAAGTTTGTTGAGGAGTCCAATGTTTCTTGACATTTTGTCCAAGACGTACCACATTGAAGATGTCAGCTGGGGTAGGACTCTCTCCACGGGGGTGCTGCAGTCCGCAAGATCCGGGAACACACTTTCCTGGTTGTCGTAGTCACTGTCTATGCTGTTATCCAGGCTGTTCTGCTGGGTGAGTGGTGTCCCCTCTGTGTTTTGAGAACTCTGTCTGATGGGTTTCGTCTGAAACAATTGAAAATGGAATACAGACTCTCTTAACATAAAAAAGCCCTCTTTTTTTTACTTACCAGTTTTAATAAAGAAATTGCTATAGCCCATTTTCACCCTAGAATATCCTTCATATTCAAGACTTTTAGGGTTAATGGTAATAATACCATCAATCAACACCGACTTTCCTGAGCCCTGTGACAGTTCAAGGATCCAAGACTAACAAAGATACAGCAAACTCGTTACAACTATTTGGCTGCTGAGACCAGTCAAATTACCTCGTTATAACCACAGCATTTTGAAGAACTGGAAAAGACAATAAAGAAAAGAATACAACAAAAAACTGGAGACTTCAAGGTGCATTCCTCGTAACAGTGGCTTTTGTGCTCCTGATGTCTAGAGTTGACGGTAAGTCTAAAATCCAATGTGTTCCCTTTAAGCATCAACCCTCTCCAACTAATCTCAAAGTGAGACCGCTTGTACCTTTCTCCCAGTCGAAGGCGTAACAAAGCCATGCTGTTTGGCTTTCCACCGCGCTGTACCAGGGCTGATCCTACGGCCACTGGGGCTGATCCTACTCTTGGCACCAAATCCGCCGCTGGACGACCGCCGTGAAGGGGTCGTGATGAACTTAGAGTGGAGGCTGACTACCCTGGAGGGCGTGGTCGTGACCAGTGGGGAGGGCGGGTGGGTGATGCGCTGGCTTTTTGAGGTTTTGTCCTCTGCCGGTTCCGAGGGAAGGAGCTCGACCGCAAACTGCTTCACCGGGGACTGCTCTGAGATGGGCTCGGCAAAGCTCACTCGGCGAGACTGGAAAGAGCAGACACACAAAACTCAGAAATTCAGGTTTTCTCTTTATTCACAAAAATGGAAAATTGTTTGATATTAATGAAGTATCCTCGGCAAAAAATATGCTTTTGGGGTCAGTATGCTGTCCTTGAATATATACAGAACATCAGAAATTTCAAATCACAGACATATGAAGAAATTTGAACCTGCGAGAGATTTCAATTGTTTGTAAATTTTAACACCATGCTCTGGAAATGACAAAGATTTTATTATGGAATACCGAGCCCCGATCCCAGGAAACGTTCCATGTCTGAAGATCTTTAAAAAAGTGGAGATTTCTTTATGAAACCTACATTTAATGCAATAGTAGCTGGAATGGTTAAGTAGCTAAAACAATCCATCTGCCTTTGAAAAGGCCAACAGTATCACTGTCAAGACCGTGCAAATTTATTTTTAAAAAAATCAACAAATCTGGAAATTTTTCACACACCTTATTGCTTGGAGAGGGGGATGCGGAATCCCTTCGCTTAAGAATTCCACCGCTTGGAGATCCTGCCGGAGAATACATGGAGGGGATGGATCCAGATGGTGACCCCTGATCGGCCGGCTTGGCCTTGGCTGCACTGCTGACATTGGGCGAGCTGTGGCATGACGGTGCAAACTTCAGGGGAATCACCGGTGACTTGGGTAAAGCTGCAGCTTCAACAGATGATGTGAGGCATTCACTGGCAGGTGGAGTTGCACCTTCGGCTGCAGAATCTTCTTGTTTCTCTGTGCTGTCTCCTGTGTAAGTTTCTGAACTCACAGGTAATAATATTGATTGGGAAGAAGTTGACGGGGCTTTGGAATATTCCATTCCCTCTTTTGGGTCTAGTATCTTTTCAGACACCAACAAGCTGCTGCTAAGGAGCTCTTCGTTTCCAGCTGTTTCTGAATCCAAATCTGGAAGTTTTGATGCTGTACCAAGCCTCATCTCCTCTCTGGTACCAGGAGGTGCAATCCCACTCAGAAGTAATGCCACTTCGTTGTTAAGTCCAATGTCTTTCTCTTGGATGTCCTCTTCAATGAAGCTGACAGGACTTGGCGACAGAAGACTCTTGCTATCTGGGAGAGGTAAGCTGGTGGACAGTCCGGCTATTGGAGACAGATCCTCCCAAAGGTCTCCTGTTTCCCCTGGAAACATCTCGCCCAAGATATTGTCCGTCACAGCTTTCTCCAATTTCTCCTCAAACCCAAACTTTATACTGGGCTTGGAATGGTCATGTTTTTCCTGTCCTGCTTTCAATACTTTCCTTGGCCTTCTTCTCAGCTTGCTTGGCACACTAGCACTGAGGGAGCTTAGGTGCTTGCTGGTGCGGAGCCTTGTTGCCACTGGAGATATCTTAGCTGTAGTTTTGGCATTTGAGACAATTTTAGCCGGGGAGGCCTTCGTGAAAAGAGGTGACTTCCTGGCACGCCTTAAAATTTTTTTGGCAAAAGCTGCCTTTGGACTTGTTTTGGGGCTTAATTTTGGAGACTTTCCAACACTGGTCTTTTCAGACCTAGAGTTCACACAGGTCAATTGTTCCCTCTTGGTGTCTTCCAATTCAACCTCATCTTGGTCTTCGATAATCCTTGGATTTTCATTGTTTGCTCGTTCAAGTTTTTTCTTCGGAAAATCCACCTCAGAATCCGAAGTTTGGCTGTCAACATCCAGGTAGCAGTGCCTGATTTTAGCCAATGGGATGTTATCTTCTTCACTGTCTTCCTCCCCTTCCCAGTTCCGACACTTCCTTTTCCCCAAACCAAGCTTGCTCCTGCTGAGCCGTCGGGTCCGCTTGATAGTCCTCTTGGATGCTGGGGGTTCCTCACTTTTAGATGACATCTGCATAGTTTTCAGCATCCCTCCATCTGGGATGTCCTTCGGACAGCTTTCGAACAGATCGTCAGAACTGTTCAGCTGTTGATCTTGGGAGTTGGGAATGCTACTTGAAGATACTAAATCTTGTCCCTCCTGAGATTGTTTCAGATCAGCATTTTTCTCAACATTCTGGGGTTCCAAAGCAGTGTCTTCCGATGTATCAGCAGGTGGTCCTCTTTGGGGCTCTTCACACATTTGAGCTTCCTGCTGCTCTTCTTTTGAGAGCTCGGTCCCTGACCTCTTGGAGCTGCAGTTTGATTCAATGCTCTTAACCTTGTCTTCCACATCTAGACAGACAGGAGTTTCCTCAACTGGAGAAAGGACAGCTGGCTTCGCTTTCCTTGGGCGCCCACGCTTCTTTTTTACTTGGCAGTCAGCTTGAGCACCTTCTCCAGGTCCCAGAGTGTGAGAGCCTCGTTTGTCGGTTTTACTTTTTGGTTCTTTGGAATCTTCCACTATTGACTCATCAGCTGCGTAACTGTCTGACAAGTTCATGTTGGCATTTTCCTCAGTAGTTGTGTGTGATTTGGTCAGCTTCTGCTTTGCAGTCAGGTGCTTCTTGCCACTGACCCTTCGCACAGTTGCACTTCTCCCATCACTTCCATGATCCGTCTGTGAGGCACTTACTGATGTTTCGCCATCTTTGTTCAAGGATAAATTTGAACCCTGTTTTGATTGGCTCTCCTTGTCCATCTGGTCCACTGATTGGTCCACGTCAGTCTCATCAGCCAATGGCTCAATACCATCCAACTCAAATCTCTCTGCAAGCTCGGCCAAATCAGCTTGTGAACTCTGTAAGCTGTTCTTCGCAAGCTTCGGTCCTTGTCCCCTTCATCACCTTCTTCTGCACTACTTTCGCAGATTTTGAACCAGCCACGGCAGGGTCGCTGGCCACTCTCTTTAAAGTATTCTCCTTTCTGTCACCCGTGGATGTTTCATCTGAGCTGAGCCGCTTATGTCGAGATATAAGCCTTCTGGGCGTGGCTTCTTCCTCACTACTTGTAAATATCTTAGGACTACTGTTGATGTCCAGCTTTGCAAAAGAACACTTGGAAGTGTCAGGACTCAGATGAAGGAGGTCAGCCTCCTTCAGCTTCTGAAGTTTGATAACTGGGGTCAGATTTAACTTCAGGTCTGTTGGTCTCGAGTCACCGACTGATCTCACTGGAGATATGGCTAAGCTGTCATCTGCTATGTCACTGGCCATTTCTACACTTTGTGACTGCTGAGTTTCTGGAATGGCAAAATCATCCTCCCCCAGTTGGCCGTCTTTCTTGTCATCTCCTTCATCATCAGTTGAATCTTTTGCTAGGACCTTTCCTTCAGTACCGTTGCTCCCTACGTCCTGACCTGCTTCCTCTCCAGAAACCTTCCCATCCAATTCCTGTTCCTGTGGCAAACGCTCCATGTCTTCTGCCAGTGCATGCTTCTCCCCATCACTTTCAACCTTCTCAGACGCAGTCGGGATATCATTCCCTGACTGTCTTTCAGAGGGAGGGAAACCAAATTCAATCTCCTCTTCATCACTGCTTGCGGGCTTTTCTGTCGTGCTGGCAGAAGAGCCCTCAGTGTCTGTTGTTGCTGGAGGGTACTTTGCTTGCGTAATATCATCGTTATCGACAGGTGGTGTCTCAAGAGCAGGTGCTACGGATTGTTCCTCAGACTTCTTTAGTTTGCTCAGAATACCTTCAAAGGTCAACATTTTGCCACTCTGCTCCTTTTCACTTTCCAAAACAGCATCATATCCCTGTAGTTTTCCCTCTTCCCTGAGCTCAGATTCAATGCTTGCCACGGAACTTTCAAGTCCTCCAGCTTTTGTGCTGATTAGTTTTGGCATTTCGGTGGAAGGTGGGGTGGGACTGTCTTCTTTGGTGGCTGGGTCTTCCTGGCATATTCCCTGTGTCTCCTTCTGCACTGTGGTTTGCCCTTTTGGGAAGCCAAACATTGAAGGGCTGTCGGCAGATGCTGATGTCGCTACATCTTCCTCCTGTTCTGCCTTTGGTGAACTGCAAAGACAGAAAGAGAAAAAAAATTTGTAAACCTAGAGAAAAATACTACAGATACACAGCACTAACCATCCTGTAACTGGCAATGCAAATTGTAGCAAAGGTTGTGAATGTCATAAAAGTTTATGAATCTTCTTAACTAATACGAGAAGTAATTAATTCACCGTTAACACCATCAAAAGGCTGTATAAATTTTCAAACATCTATCTACACTCACACCATGAAAGGCTTCTTTGTTTTTGAACGATCAGATAAACTTACTCTTGGGTTTTTTCTGTCTGACTCATGAGCTCACTGAATGTCTGAGTGTCTTGAGATTGCTCCAGATCATTATAGAGCGCAGGGAGGACACGGCGTGTCCGCATCATTTCCTTCTGGTGGTCTGTCAAGACTTGGGTCTTCTTCGGCGATGGGGCAATAAACACAAACTCCTAGAGAAAGACATTTAATCTGCTCACTTTTTGAAAATGTGTTTATTTTCCACAAATAATCTCCAATGATGATTAACCTATGTTTGCTTTCAATTCTCTGATCATTTTTTAACATTGATGCCTCTTTGGCCTGCAATTTCTGAAAGCCATTAAGAAATATATCACGGCTTTCTTGTAAAGTAGTCTTAATACAAGAAGTAGGCTAGCAAATTCACTGTCAACAACCAATCTATGATATCTATGACACAATTAACCACTTCCTGCCGGGGCAGTTATCAATGTTGACGATGCTGTCATTTTTTCCCTCCTTAGAAACCAAGCATTTCTTCACTTCTTATTTAAGTACCCCAAATTGTTTTCAGGGTCTCTCGGTTTTTGACCTGAAATACGTGTCAATGATCCATTAGACATCTACTCACCCCCATACTCTCTTCATCAACATGCAGCCGCCTCCTGGCTGCAGCTCCGCTCACACCTGGTGATGCGTCTCTCTTCCCCTTCCTCCCCACTGGGGATGACAAACCCCTGAACACACCCTTCCCTGGAGAGACAGTCCTCTTGGTGGTCTTGGGGGAGGGGTTCTTGTATCTCTCTGGTGAGGAAGATGCGAAGAGGCGCTCGGCCTGGGCAGTACGTTTCAAGAAGCTACCGTGCATCTTCTGGGGGGAAGGGGCTCCAAAGTTTGGAACGGTGGGTGCAGGCGGAGGTGGAATGAGACTCAGAGAGGCTTCGCTCTGGTGAACAAATGGACAGATGAAGGAATGACATTGATACATTTAATCAATATTCAAACATTAGTGGTTGGAGGTTGTTCAGAAGATCACACACAAGTAACCTACCTCTAACATTTGACTGACGGGTGTTTCATTTACAACAGGCTGTTCCGTGTCCGTCCAGCCTGGTAGAACCAATGGTGTTTTTTCCTTCAGTTTCACAAGACACAATCTATTGATGCAAGTACAAAGAAAATGGACTATTGTCTCAAGGCACCTGTCTCCATCACAGAAATGGTTTACATGCACAGATATGGGGAGAATACTAGTCCTCAGGAAGAAAACTGCTGATATGGGAGCTGGTTGATGTACTTTGGCAGGCAAGTGTACTAATACCCCACATGCAGGAAATACTTCGTGACAATAAGACATGCAAAAATGTTTTACACACCATCTGAAGACATCACATTTCATTGTCCAATGCTAAGGGCAACGAAATTGCAAGGCACTCAGTGAGTGTGTGAAGCGTTAAGACCCAAGTCACAGCTTGGGTTACCCCATTCTCACAATCACCCTATGCATTTGATCAGAACTCACTTGAGAGACTCGGGGTATTCCAGGGACTGGACTGTCGCAAATGTAGCATTCCAGAACACCAAGGTGTGGCTCTTGATAGTCCGCTTGGGGTGGGTCAACCCGCTCTCTAGCAGTGGGGAGACTGTGGCAAGGAAAGCCGAGTTGTACGGCCCACCGTAGCGAGTTTGTACTGAGGTCAAGAGGTCAGTCCAGAGTTTCTCAAGTTTCTGCCATGAAGGCACTGGATAGGAGCTGCATTTGAAAGCTCTGAGATTAGAAAAAAGAAGTTTCTTTACTTTCATGTCCTGATTTGAACTTCACCTGTTTGGTATCATTTTTTGGTTTCACTACAGATAAAACATTTTGATTTCTTTTCCAACAATTTATCACAATCCCCAAACTGGGCTTAAATCACCAGGTGAGGTATTTCATAAAAGTACTTTATCTATAAGTTCCGCAACTGCCCTAAAATTCGCAGTCCCTCCTTTCTGCTGGTTTGGCTGTGGTTTGTGAGATTTGTTTGACTAATTGTGTATCTTCAGAGAAGCTAATTCAAGAACACCAAAGGCTAGATTTTTTAGCTTACCCAGAGTTGTCAAAGAAACAGGAGATCGGTCCAGCCAGTTTGTCGAGCAAAGCTTCTATGATACCTGGCTGGGAGATGTTGGTGAAGAGAATGCTCAAGATATTTGCCATGGTGCTAACAGACGGTGAAGATATGTAGGAATTGGATGCCTGTGGGGAAAAGCAAAGTGTGTTAAAAGTAAATAAAGCTACACTGAAAGAAACTGAAGCCTTAATTTCTCATCACTGAAGCATTAACCCTAACCTTCCCCAACCACACAGAATTAAACAGTAGTAAAGTGTTTAATTCTGTGGGATAAGTCTGGTAGGCCCATAACAGCTGGCTTTTGCATTGGGTTGGGCATACCTCAGAAAAACAAA